GCCTTCAAGGCATGAAGTTCATCAGCGCTGAGACCCTTTGCATTCTATGTGGGCAGGCTTTCCAGGTGATGTGAACACAAACCACAAATCCTGGGCGAATTAATCTGTGCATGCATGTCAGGGGTCCGGAGGGGGGGGGGGCTGGATAGGTGGCTCACTTCCGAACCCGGAGCCGGCGGGGGCACAACTGATGGTCAGGCCCTTCAGGGCGGTCTTGAGGGCGGCAAACCCGGGGTCCTTCTTGTCCAGCGCGCTGTTGGTGAAGTTGCACTGTGTCCCGGCAGGGAACACGACAACGACCTTGCCGGAGGCCGCGCCGCGCTCGGCGTCGGAGGCGGACGCCTGGGTGACGGTGATGGTCACCTTCTTGGCGGCACCCTTGGAATTGGTGTAGGGGGCCTTATAGACAAACCTGACAGGGGCGGCCGCACGAAGTTGTCGGCATGGGCTCGTTGAGGTGAGTGCTCGGGGTGTTTGGTCAAGGGAAAGGTGGCGAGGGCTGCACGGCCGGGCGACCAGCAGGCTGGACAGTGCCCCGCAATCATTTGCGACGTCACCGCACGGCCCAAGTTGTGAACAGTGTATGCAATCCACAACTTTTGAAGGCTGCATCACGTCATGCTGGCATGAAGTTATAGGGTGGTCGCGGCGACAAAGCACATCCCAACCAAGGCGTGCTGATGCGCACTTGCTCTTGTCAAGCCCGATCAGCGTGCCCGTAGTGATTGGCAGCTCTGTGATGGACAGGATGATGCAGAGTCGCAGGCAGGATTCGATTTGCCCGTGGCCAGGAGGCGTGCGTGTCAGTGCCACGCTGGGGTGACAGTTGGGCGCACTTGGCATGCAACGTGACAAGCGGGGCACGCGGTCGCGTTGCAGTTGGGAGCAGGGTCTCAGCCTTGCTATCAAAGACACCGCAGGTAATGCAGGGGGCTGCAAAGATCTCGGCAGGGCCTGCCTGTGAGCTGCATTTTGGGCTTGTGGTTTGTGCAAACTAACGCGCACACAGAGGAGCGCAGCTCGCGCTGCAGCGCACGCAACGTGCCAGGTCAGCCGGAAGGATTGTCGTCAAAGCTTCTTACCGACAATGCAGTCGCCCTTGGCAAGTGCCTGGACCGGCGTAATCACGCACAACGCCAGCAGCACGGCCACAGCCGCGAGAATCAATGAGACCTTCATGGTGTGTGGCGGTGGCTGTTGCAGCACCTGCACGTGACACGGGCAGCTGCACGTGAGAAGAACTGGCGGATGCAATCCAGACTTAGCAAGAGCCTTGCAGCAGCGTAATGCAACAGCCGTTGAGGAGAGTCAGGGCCTGCAGCTGCGCCCAGACTGGTCGCCGACAATGGTGGCTCGGGGCTGGCGCCTGCGGGTGCTGCTCGGCAAGTCCTGCCAGGCGCGCCCGGGCGCCAGCAGTGCTGGCTCGAATTAATCACACACAGTGGATCGGAGGCAGCTGGGCAGGTCATTGCGCACCGGCACAAAAAGCCCAAACTTGTAATACCGACCGGGCAACGATTTGCGACGTCGGGCACTGCTCCGGAGTGATAAAATACTCGAAGTTACAATCACTCCTGAGGCTTTAATGCTGCCGAACCCTTTTCGTGGACAAGAAGACGACCCCGGTCACATGTGTCCGGTCGGTGCTAGGAGGAAATTTGCACATTCAGTCGGCTTTGTACCCCAAACATGAGATTGTCGTGTTGGAAACCTTATCCCGATGTGGGTAGAAACTTGCGTGCTTGTAAGCAGTGGGGAGAGCTGAGAGTGATTGGGCACACTGGCAGCATTCTTGGGCGCCAGCCATCTGGCGACGCTGGGCGTGGCGGCGCAGAGGTGTTGATATACGCATCAACGTACGGGGTGTTCAAAGTGTGTAAAGTTGCATTACTGCATCTAGAACTCGCTGGCGGAGGCGCAGCAGCGCCCTGAAGGAACGCCCTCGTTCTTGATTACCACCGACCGGCGTGCGTTTGCACATAGTCTGGCATGACAGGAAGGTGGCCATAGATCTTGGACCCCTCTGTACGCCCCCTTCGTATGGGCGTTTGCACGTCTAATATGGGCATGGTGGTTGTGATGTACTTGAGCTGGTGCTGCAGATGAAACTTTCACGCTGTTGAACATCGACCAGCAACTTGCTGCGTTGCGCGTTGTATTGGCTATTCGGCACGCTGAATAGCACACAACATGCTGCGCAGCACATTTAAGGCAGCAGCTGGCGACTTGACAAGGGTTCCTTTGACAAGGGCCAAGGGGGGAACCTTGGGTTTTGACTGTTGCATGTGTTCTGCAAATAAATGCTGGGAGCACGCGGGCGCGGGCCGCTCGGGGCGTCGGGGGGTCGGCTTCACAATCTTGCCCAAGTTTTGGTGCTCCCGACGCTTGCTAATGATGCTGGCCTGCCAGGTCAAATATGTTGTAACACCAACAACAGCCGTCACTGCTTACATGGATAGTACGTATCATATCCTGCCTGGAACAGCCAGTGGTGGTGCTTGCAATACATCGTGAGACCGACGGCCGCCCGAACAGACTAGAGCTGTCAGCACCCGCCATCACCATCATCCAAGTCGAACCAGTCGTGCACACACTTCGGCACCTCACAGATACATCTTTGCAGATGGCACTGTGGTTGGAGAAAAGTGAACATGAGCAGCATGTGAGACACAGGTCAAGCCACATCATGTCCGCAAACGTGGCAGCACCATCAAATGCAACAAACACTTTTTGCAGAGACGAGCCAAGTCCTTGGCTCATGCGCAACACCCACGCCCCTGCCAGCGGCAGCGCCCAACGCACCATAACCTCATCATCACCCTGCTGCGTGTGGCTCTCAAAGACTTGCGGCAGCGCGGTGATCTTGGTCGTGACACCAGGCGTGCGAGGGTTCTCAAACTTCACATGCGGCAGAAGGAAGTACCCCTGGCCACGCTGGGCTCCAGATGGGCGCAGATAACTGCCACCCTGAGCCTCATATGCGCCAGTCAAACACCTGCATAAAAGTAAACAAACGGCATGGAGGGTCGTGATGTATGAATACTGCAGCTGCCATGACAAACAGCTTGAACGCTACGCAACACAACACCTGTAATCTAGGATAGCTGTTGCCATATAGGTATATTGTTGACTTCGCGCGCCGCCCGGCCCTCCAACCGCTGCCAGTCTGTTGCTGTAAGGCTTAAAGGGCAAGCATGTGAGTGTGCCATTTTGGGCGGGCTTGAGACTTGCCACAAGGCAAGAGAGCATCGAAATCATTGCACAGTGGCTGAGGAACACAAGAAACCTCCTTCATGCTGTGCCACACTTTCACATGCCCGCCAAGAAAACCCCAGCAGAATTAGCATGGTGGTGCGAAGTCCACCTGGAAGTGCGAGCAAAATCGAATGAAGAGTATTTTGTCGACACAGAGCAGTTGAATTGGCCAAAAACTTGGGTTTTAGTTGTAACAACACAAATTGCTTGATTCCTTAGGCCGCATTAGATCAGAGCTGGGTTGCCGACATCTTGCCTGCCGTGGCCAGACGGTGAGACTGAACGCCGCGCCACTTTACATTCACGTAATCGAGTTTGTGACAGTGCCTGCAGACGGCGCAGTGGTAGTCTGGAGGGGCACATATGCACCGGGGCAGCACTGCCGGCATACAGCACCCCGAGGCCCTCCTACACCAGGCTCCAGCGCACACCCCGAGCGCCTTGCGCATGCCTACTTTGCCCTCCAAACCCCTTTCATCAGGTCGTGATATCATCACCTATGAGTCCCACATACCGCCGGCAGCGGGGGGCGCGCGCCGTCCTGCTGTCCGCGGCGGCCGTGCTGCTGGCGGCGGCCTCCCTGATCAGCTCGGGCTCGGCCGCCCCCAACGACGGCCGCGTGAGCCTCCGACTGAACGTCGGCAAGAACAAATACTTCACCCTGCGGCTGCCGCGCGCGAAGCCGCTGCCGCCCGGCGCGGACGGCGGGTTCACCCGCACTTATAACGACACCTGTGGGCTCTTCGACATTTTGTACTCTGCTAAGGGGCCGGCGGG